ATATTTTTTAAAAACTATATAAATGAATATAAATTTTTAATAAAAAAAAAAATTAATCATAAATTATTATATCTAATTATAATGTACAATAAAAAATTTTAATTACATGTTTTTTATTAAAATATTACTATTCTATTTATATTTAATTAATATAAACAAAATATATTTAATTATATTTTATGTATTTATAATACTTATAAAATAAATATTAAATAGATTAATATAATTTTTACAAAATATTAAAAAATATTATATATTATTTAAATAACAAAATAAACAAGACAGAAAATGTACTTATTACAAATAGAATATACAGAGAGAATATACAGAGTTAACATTCAATGCATGTTTTTCCTTTATTTCGGGACAGTAGGAATCTCTTACTTATTTTTGTTTTATTCTCAATTATTGATTCGATTTAGAATAAGATTAGAATAAAATTGATAATGATTGGAATTGAAACTAAATTTTAATATAAAATTACAAATAAAAGATAAAATTCTATTATTAAATATAGATTATAGATTATAATTGTAAATATATGATATTTATACATGATTATATTTATTAAAATTAGAAATATAAATATTATAAATATTAAAATAGTTTATATAATTATATTTTGAGAGTTAGAAATAAAGGTGAAAAATCTATATTTTTTATATTGAAGATTAAGATATATTATAACTTTAAAAGAAAAATTATAATAATATATTTAATTGATATCCCTCATCTGGTGCCAAAAATAAGTAAAAAAAATAATAGAACAGAGAAAAATTATAAAATCAGTACATTCTTTGAAGTATTGCAAATCAAATTCAAATAATAAAAACAAAGAAACAAAATAATAGGAGAAGGATAGAGATAAAATAAGTAATTGAAAATCATTTTTTAAATGCCAAAAATATCTTTTTAAAAACAAGAGATAAAGTTGAATAAGAATTGATAACCAACGCTATCTTTTGAATGCTTCTAAAAAGATAATTCTTAAAAAATACATCTGATATTTAAGAGATGTCGCTGATTTTATAATTTTTATTCTGTATTTATACTAATTTCTTTTCTTATATTTGTGTTTCATTTGCAAGAATTTTGAAGATGGCATTGATTCTCGAATTTTTTTTTGATTGATTATGTGTATTATGTGTAAATTTATTCGTTTAAGAAACAGTTTCGCAATCTAAGTAATTTTATAATAATTATATTATATTATGTTATAATTAATTTTTTGTTCTTTATCTAAGTTATCGATTAAAAGTTTTAAGTTTACTTGATACAATTTTTATATATTGTAAGTATGTATATAATTATATTTTATTTAAATTTATTGTATAAGGAATATATATATATATATATATATATATATATATAGATAAATCTTTTTTTTATATGTCAATAAATACTATATAATTACTATTACTATATTGTTATTAATAGCAATATATATAAATATATAAAAAATTTTATAAAATGATTATATTATATTTTTGTGTTATAAAAATATAATTTTTAATTCATAAATAATATTTAATTCATACATGAATCTATTATTATATCAAATCTAAATTAGAGATCGTATCATGATTTTTTGTGCGATTAGAACATGAGACATTTTCGATTATATTCGTTTTTCATGATGATATAATTCAATTTTTCATTATAACATAATGTTTTTTAATTAATATTTTTACATGTTATATAGAAATTGAAATAAAAATGTCAAATTCGCTTGTAAGAAAAGGACTTGAATTAATGGGTTGTGAAAAAAGCATAAAACAAGGTATAAGTCTTAATTTGTATAGGTTATAAATTTATATATCATGTGATATCTACATAAAATTTTTATTTATAGAAAGAAAGAAAAGAAAACATATAAAATATAAAGGTACACTGGATCTAATTCCCCCCAAACACAGGATATTATCTAAAAATGATAAAACAGGTATCTATAATTTTTAAAATAAAATATTATATAATCATAAAATAATCAATTATTTTTATTTCGACTTATAAAACATAAATATTTTTAAAGATCTCGGTACAATTCTTGGACGATCAAGTAAAGTAACTGTCTATGAAACTCAAAAAAAATTAGCTGCACAAAAAGATTCTACAGATACAAATATACAGAGACTCTTAATACTTAGTAATAATCGTCTTGATCCAAATACAACAAATAAGGTATTCATATTTTTATAAATTTTAAATTATTTGAAAAATAAATTTTAATAAAAAAGTTTAATAATAGTTATTGGAGAGGGCTTTGAAAAAGAAATATATTCCAGAAGTAAAGAAACCTAAAGAACCTGAAACCACTGTATTTACTGAAGAGGATTTCAAAAAGTTTGAGAAAGAATATATGGATCAGTAATAAGTAAATTATATATTTATATTTCTTACGTTATCTTAGTTAAACAAGATTATTTGAAAAAAATATTAAATTTACTTAATAAATCTTATTTGATATTATGATATGATATTTATTATGAATACTTTATCATAAAGTAATATCATATTTTTTTATATATTTATATTTATTAATATTTAATCTATTATTATAAATTTTTAATTATAAAATGTTTAATAGCGATCGTAAGAAGGGTAAAGTGATATTAATTGTGACTTGTATTTTATTTCTGTATTATACTATATGGGTTATTGGCTTACCATTTATTGATGATGACAGAATACGATCATTTTTTGGTTCTTACAATATTGCATTAATGTTTCCTGCTATTTTGGGCTTATGTTTCATTGGTGGATTAATATTATTTACTATTTATCATGTTAAGCCATATTATTCAATTTATAAATCAAATAAAACTCATGAATCATAATATTTATGTAGACAGAATTTTATTGTATACTAATAATTCTTGTTATAAAACATTTACATTGTATGTTTTATTATTGATTAAATAAGGAAATTAATATGACTTACGTAATATTATTTATAATACGTAGTTAGTTTAAGATAACCTATTCTAAGCTACGATATAAATAATGTAAATGATATAAAATGTCTTCAAAAAAATGGTTTGTGATTGGTATTTCGGGTGCAACATGTAGTGGAAAAACTTCTTTAACTACCCAACTTCATCAAGAGTTAAAAAACTCAATAGTGTTACACCAAGATAATTATTTCTTGTCGAAAAATGATCCACGGCATGTATTGGTAAAAGAACTTAATCATTTTAATTGGGAATTAATAACTAGTATGGATATGGACCAAATGTATTCGGATATTTTACAATTAATCGAATCTTTTCCGAATGAAAATAATCCTTCCGAAATGGTCAACAAAAATATATTAATATTAGATGGATTTTCACTTTTTAAATGTAAGGTTATTTCAAATTTATGTGATCGTAAATATTTTATAACATTAAACAAAGAACAATGTTGGGAAAGAAGGAAAGAAAGAAAATACGATCCACCAGATGTTCCTGGTTATTTTGAAAAAGTTGTATGGCCAGAACATATAAAACACAAAGATGAATTAATGAAAGACGATGATTTGTGTAATACAATAACATTCATTGATGGATCAAAAAGTAAAAAAGAGATATTTGAAATAATTTTTAATGAAATAAAAAAATTATTATCATAAGATTTTAATTATTATTATATGTTAAAGGAAAAACTACAATAAATAATTAATTTTAAATATTTAACTAACAATTAACAAAAAATGATGTTACAAGTCAACTTCAAAAAGAAGTATGTGTTATACTACATTCCAGAATATTTAATATAAATTAAAATTTTTAATATTTTTGTTAATAATCTAAATTATTTTTCTTAAATATTTTTTTTATTAAGTTTGAGATAAATAATTCCTAATAATAAATCTTGTATAATAAATTTTGTATACGAATGGATAACTGATTTTTATTGAACTGAAAAATGTAATAGTCTTATACTTACCTAATATAATAATGCATTAAGTATTTCTTATTTTTTTTTTTTTTTCTATAAATGATAATAAACTTGTATTTGTTCACCTTTCATTTTGTGAGAAATATATATATATATACATATTTCATTGTTATATTACCCATATTAATGAATTTTTATGAATTTCTATAGAAATGCCCATATATTAAGTTAAAAAATCAGAAATGATGGATTTTAAATGTATATGAAAATACACGTGTATATGAAAATACATGGGAGATATTGCATGTATTAAGAAATTCAAAATTTATATACTTAACATTTGTTTAATGAGTATTGAATCATTTTAGCTTGATAACTTGGTTTTTTTCACAATAACAAATATTAATATTTTTATAGAATACTTACAACAATATGCAAATTAGAAATTTTTAATCAAAATATTTTTGCAGTATTTTTATATTGCAAAATCAATTAATTAAATTCATTTTCTTTTACATTCTTTTACATAATTCCTACAAAATTTTTTTGTTGCCAGGCTAATGTTTGATATTTGATATTTTCATGAATATACACGTGTATTTATTAAATAGGAATTTCTATAAAAAATTGTGATAATTTTGCAATATATCACAATATTCTAACTACAACATGTACAATATTTTCTTTTTTGCATTGCATATAAAGCCTGCTTCAGATGTTAAGTAATTATTAAAGAAATAATTTTTAATTTTGTTTCATATGCATAGTATATTTTGTACAAAAATTAATTGTATAAGACTTAGAAAATAAAATATATTTGAACTGGTAACTCCTTCACAGACACACTTTATAACTTACAATATATCAATCAGCCTTTAGTTTTAGACAAATCCAGAAAGGGTACATATATGATTTATTATAAAAAGGACATTTTATAATTTTTCATATCTTTTGTTACTTTTACTACTTCAATAGCTTATAATTCCATATAATGACAAATAGTAATGTTTTTTTTTTGTTTTGTACAAAATAGATTATGTTTAGCCAAATTTCGGACATCCATCTTCATCCAAAACAGGCTTCTAAATGTTCAAGTCCTTGCTTTCAACAAGATTTGCTTCATTTTTTCTTTTTTTTTAATAAAGATAACGCACAACGACGTGTATATGTTACATGGAATAGTTGCTATGTTTAGATTGACCTTGCACATTTGTTACATTTGTTGGAGCAGGACCAGCTGTCTGATCATCTTGATCATTCTGTCCACAAGCTTTTCGAACATATTGAGGTGTAAGAACAACTTCTTCCTCCATTTCAAGAACTCGTTTATCCAATTCCATACACGCTGCCATTTCTTTTTCTAGTTTTGCTAACATTTGTGGCGAATTGTATTTTTCTGGATCATCATGAAATACTACCATACCATCTTTTTGATTGATTGTTGCAAAAATCTCACCATCTTCTATCTAAGATTATAAATATAAAATACTTTTATATAATATTTGAATATATATTATATAAAATATGTTATTAATAAATATTACTAATAAATTTACCATATTTAATATATATTTTTCTGCATCAGCAGGTCCAGACAACTGAACTCTGCTAGCCACATCACTTAAGCTAAGAGTTAAAAAAGTTTTTGTCAACCTTTGTATGTTTTTTTTATATAAATAGCTCAGCACTTGTTTCACCAATCCTATATTATGGTCTCTTGTAAATAATTGTTGATACTTGGTAATAATATTTTGCACCTCTTCACAACTATTCATTTGATAAGCTGTAGCCAATTCTTGATACTGTTGACCCAATGGTTTCATGTACCTATTAACCACTTGACTCGTGTACCTAGGTAAATTAAAACTTTTCCATGCAGTATTAAAGAGACCAAAATATATTTTTTATAGGCCTCTAACATAATGTAACTAACTGCCATGGCAGGTGTTGTTACACACACTTCGAAAAAGTATAATGCTCTGTCATAATTTTTTAATGCTGTATATATCATACCACCATAATAATAATAAAGTAAAAAGTATTTTGAATCAAACTGTCCTTCTTCTTGATTGATACCAGTAACATCTATATCGAGAAATTCAAGTGCTGGCTTAAAACACTTAGAAAGAAGACATAGTTGACAAAGATCTGCATGTATTGAAGTAAGCTGACTATCAAATAGTTGTATTTTACGTATTGCACGGCATAAAAGTTCAATACCACGCAATGGTATTTGTAATTCAACCAATGTTTGGGTAAATAAATGACATAATTCTGCATCTGTAATAAAAATTATAAATAAAATAAAAATATTTTTATAATTTCAATATTTATAAAAAAAAAAGAGAGAAAATATAAATCTTACATATATCAGAAGCAAATCTAACTTGTTCTCCATTACAACCAATAATAAATTCCTGAACCTGACTAAATAGTGGTTTATAAGCATCAGCATTGTTTGAACCATTAGGATTAGGCAGTGAAAATTTTACACATAATACTGCCAAAATACCTAATGAATGTTCTTGCAAATTTAAGGTTTCCAAAACATTATCTAAGTGTTGTCCATTTTTTATTAGAACATCTGTACTTTTACTTATTATTTCGGATAGCTCCCTAAAGTTACCTATGAAACATAAGATAATTAAATAATATAGTTTAATAACTAATATAAAAATATTAACATAATAATAATAATGATATAAAAATAATAATTTACTTGCAAAATATTGATTAAAGAAATATTTTTTTTATTAATGCCGAAAATTTTAAGAAAATAATTCATATGGCGCTATGAGAAATATTTAGAATTTGATTATAAATAAATTTAATATAGAAATTATTTTAATATAGAATTAATTTATATATGACCTGAATAAAATCAGATTGAAGAATTATTGGATAACAGAATGAGAAAATATTGTGAATTCAAATCTTATTTTTTAAAAAAAGGATTATTTCAAAGCAATGCAAAATGTTCTTCCTTAGAATAATTCTTAGAGGTTAGGTACGTGAGAATGTAATGAAGATCTGAACATCTGTCGCACCTTGTTTTGAGAGTGTCCGCACATTATTTACAAATAGCTCCAATGCTGATGCCATTACTGCAAATGGTTTCTTCTCATCACCACCTTTGGTCGGTGGTGAACCGTATTTACAGGAATTATTTTCGTGAACAAACGATCACTTAAGATGACGTTTTGAAAGAGGCACCCGGAATGCTCTGAAGCATGTTACGAAAATAGCCGGTTGCATCGAACTCCCTCTTTTATGTTATGGGTCACACAAAATTTGAATTGAAATATATTCAAATAAATATATTTTCTTTACAAATTTAAATCCTATATTAATTTTTTAATTACATGTGTGTGAGAATCATTATAAATTGAAAATATATTTAATATATATATACATTATATGAAGTAAAATTTTGTATCTATTGCTTTAAAAATTATAATCTTATGATTAATCAATAATGATTATTTTAAATACTGTATTGTACTAATATTTGTAAAAAATTAAAATAAATATTTAAATATATACGTGCACCTTATTTTAAATACATATACTTATCTTATATAAATAAAAAAGAAATTTTATATATCATTAATTTAATGGTTGCTAGGATATTAACGATTTCTAACAATTCTAAAAATAGAATAAGGCAAAGTGTTTTCACTATAATATCTTTGAATTAAAATTCAATTAGCTTGTATTTTCACTTTTTTTTATTCTTAAACAGGAAAAAAAGCATTAAATATTTTTTATTATGTCAAATATAATATATAACGAACTCTGGAAAAGTGCACAAATTGCTTTGGAGGAACTTCTTCAAGTGGATACAACTTTGCAAAATGCTAAACCGCAAAAAGATCGTAAGAAAATTCATAATGCGATTTCAGAATTATATGTAAGATATATTATTATCTATAATAAATTAGAACTATGTTACGATCAAATAATTCAACCACAAAAACGATTATTGATAAAAAAAATGGTAGTTTCATGTCTCGGAAGAATTTTAGAATTAAAACATGAATTAGTCGAGATAGATATTTCAGAGTACAATTATTTTGATGATATTCTAATAAAATTAAATGTTACTCCGCAAGAAATTGAAATTCAAATACCCAGATATTTTAAACGCGAACGTTTACAAGAAATTAAGGAAAAACGAATTATATAGAAAATACATTGAAAAATATGGATATTTTAGATAAAACAATTATACCAAAAAAGATGACTGAATTGGAAGCAATAAAGCTTATACAGGTAAAAATTTTTTAAAATAAAGGAGAAAATTATCTTTCTATAATTATATAAGAAAATTATCTTGAAAATTATCAATATATAATAAAACGAAAATATTCGAATGCTTACATTTTGAACTATTTTTAACAAGTATATATATATATATATATAAAACATAATTTAATTCATATAAAATATTTTTATTATAATTATCGATAAAATATATTGAACTCTTGTCACAGAATTATTCGAAAACTTGAAATAATGTAAGCGTATGAAATATATTTCTCTCATATACGTAATATATATTTATCTATTATTTATATAAATATTAGGCTCATGAACGTGCTAGGCAAGATCGATTAAAATTTCAATTTATGAAAGAAATTCGTCAAATAAAAGACAAATCTGCAATTAAAGCAGAAACAGAGATAAAAAACGAGCCGAACGAAACAATAGCTGCGATAAAAATTCAAAAAATTTGGAGAGGATATCTAACTAGATTCAAAATTCGGAAAAGATGTCTCGAAGAAATGTTGTTAATTGGTATTTTTTTTATTAAAGTAATAAAATAATTAGGAAAAACAAATATATAAACAAATAAAATATATGAATTATACATATTATTTTTAAAGGTATGCTTCAACCGAGTCAAGAAATTACTGAAAACGTCAAACAAGTTGAAAGGGTCAAAGAAGAAAGATATGAGAAACAAATAAAGTATCAAGAATTATACGAAAATTTAATGGTTACAACTAAAGAAAGGATACATAAAGAGAAGAGCGCTATAATAGAGGAAAATATAAGAACTGAAGTTCGAAATTGGATAAAAACTTATTTCCAACAAACAGGAAAAATTCCTGATTTGCCATCTGCAGAAAGTGGTGGATCCAGAATCATATTTAGCAGACAAGTAAAATTAATATTTACATTTATATAATATATATATATATATTTTGAAATTAAATAATTGTGCTGATTTTTTTTAAGGAAACTGAAAGTACCATAAGTAAATCAACAGCAGTATCATCAAAGGAATCCAAAAAATCTAAAAGATTAAAATTAAAAAAAGATAATAATGCTGAACAATCAGAAGATGAAACTGAACAAGGTTTCAAATCAATCCCTTCTAATTTTTTATCAGAATTAGTACATGCTAATCAAGAATATCAAGAAATATGGAAAAATAAAGATGAAAGTATGAATGTAGCACAGTTGCCATATTTAGATATGATAGAGAATGAAATGATTAATAAAGTAGAAAATGAAGTTCGTATTACAGTTGATCAAGCACTCAGAGGTAAATTTTAAGATCAATATATATATATATAGCAAAATGCTTTTATAAATTTATATTATATTTCAAGGCGATATTGAAACACTACAAAATGCATTAGATAGAGATAAAGGCAAACGCCCTAAAAAAAGTCAAAAAAGAATTCGCCGTAGTACAAAAAAAATAAAAAGAGAAAAGAGAAGGATTTGACACCTGATAGAACAACAGAATCTTTATTTGAAGAATTATTAACTCAAGGAATTATTAAACTTCATAAAGAAATTCCACTTAATGATTTTAAAGGCGAAAAATCTTTCTTAAACTATAATTTAAAAGAGAAGAAGATAGAATCTTTGCCAACACTTGGTTAAGTGTTCAATATTAATTTAAACTTATTAACTTATATTTCTTATTATTTCTCATTCTCATTTTAATTTATTAAATAATCTTTTAAAAATATGAATCTTTTAAATAATCTTCTAAATCATATTAATTTTATTAACAGGAGATATAAGACAACTGATAGCTGAATATTGTATTCTTCCTTTGGGAGACAATACTCTTAGAGAACTTACACCATTAATAAGATCAATATTAATAGCAGGTCCACATGGCAGTGGTAAAAAAATGCTAGTAAATGCAATTTGCACAGAACTTGGAGCTACATTATTTGACATTACACCAGCTAACATTGCTGGAAAATATCCTGGTAAATCAGGATTAATTATGCTTATGCATTTGATATTAAAGGTAAGAAGAATGAAATAAAAATAATTACATGAATTATAGTAATTTTATATTTCTTTATATATAAAGGTATCTCGTTTGCTTCAACCATCAGTGATATTAATGGAAGGGGCAGAAAAACCATTTGTAAAAAAAATTCTAAAAACAGATAAAACTGATCCAAAACGTTTAAAAAGAGATCTTCCCAAATTAGTAAAAAGTATTACAAATGAAGATAAAGTGATTCTTATTGGAACTTCAAGTTCACCATGGGATGGAGATCAAAAACTTTTATATCAAACTTATGATAAAATTATATATATTCCTAGACCAGATTATGGAACTATGTCTCTTATATGGAAAGATTTATTATACAAAGTATGATTTTATTAATTTAAATTGTATTAGACATTAAATTTTTATTAAAAAATATACAATATAATATACATAATAATAATATACATAATATACATAATATACATAATAATACATAATAATAAAATAATAGTTTTTATTATGTATTATTAGATATATATTTATATTTATAGCATTCTGGAATTAATAGACAATTTGATACAACTATTATGACTAAAATTTGTGATGGTTTTACTATTGGCACTGTATTAGCGTCAATTAATGAGGTATTGGCGGAAAAATTATTATCATCATATATAATAATATAATTATTATATATAACATTTTTTATAATATTTTCTTCTAATAATTATATATAAATATGATAATTCAGGTAATGACTACAAAACGAATAATGCAATTAAGAACTCATCCATTGACACACGGAGAATTAATAAATGCGTTGAGCTCAAAAGATCCAGTTTTTTGCGAAGAAGAATCCGCGTTTTTAGGTTTGTATACGTATGCTCTATGAAATAATATTAATCTTTTATTTACGATAATTCTGATTGTAGCATGGCTTTCAAAAACTCCTATAAATCGTAAAAAACAACGAGCACTTGAATTGGAGCTTCAAAACTTGAAAGAAGAAAATGAAAAAAAGAAAAAAAAGGAAAAAGATCTTCGTAAATAAATTTATATATAATAATTATATATAATTATTTATATTTAATATAATATTTATATAATTAATAAAATTAATTAATAATCAATTATTATTAATTAATAATCAATAAAAATAATTAATAATATATATAATAAAAAAGTAATATAATAAAATAATAATAATAAAAATATGAATAAATAAAATTTAAATAATAAATAAATATGAATAAATACGAAGTTTTGTTATTTTTCTAATTTGCTAATTTTTATAATTTTATGATTATTCAATCTTATTTTACAGATCTTCGTCACTGTTTATCGAGCTCTTGCAAAAATGCAAAATTTATTTACATAAGTAAAAATAAACGTAACCACGATTTACGTTCGAGATCAAAGTTTCAAATATTGATAAATCTAGCATTATTTTAAATAAAAAATAAATTCACGAATTTATGAAGTATAAATAAGAAAATTTTTTATTTTTTCTTTTATTATAACTTTTATTATTATAAAAATATCGTCTACAAATCTACATATATTATAATATATATCATAATATAATATTTATCATATACGTATATGCATATATTATCATTATAATATCATTATAATATATATATCATTATAATATCATTATAATATATATATCATTATAATATCATTATAATATATATATCATTATAATGTATTTCAAAATTAGTATTAATTACTTTTATCATTAGTTTTTATGATGTTATGATTAGTATAATAATATAATTTTTTATGTTGAAAAATTCAAAAGATGATTCATGTTCATATATTAAACTGATAATAGATTCAAAATTTGATTTCATAATCATTTCATAATCGCATGTTAATTATGTTTCATAATCGAAATTTTATAGAGATTTTATTATTAATATTTGATTGTATAATAGCTTTTGGAAGCGTAAATCTGAATTAGAAGAATGACAATTGCAATCTGACAAGTTTTTATTCATGAACGTCCCTTTTGTAAGAGAGATAACTAGAATAAGATTGTTAGCTTTGGATCGTAACACAAAAGTCTCGTTAAGTCTAAACTTATACAGGTTACATGTTTCTTTCTTCAGTTCACGTGATATAATACGCGGCGAATAAGTTTTATGATAAGACAGTGGCAAAGATCTTTCCAAAATGTTATCAAAGAAAAATGATGGGGGGATAACATTATACATAATATTACTCTTATATTAAAATATGTTACATTAATTATAGTTCTATTTTAATTATGAAAATAAGATATATCACGCAAGATTTTACATTTTTTTAAAATATTCAAATGCTAATAAGAGAATTTATTAAAATAATTAAATAAATTATTATTAAATAATAATTATTTAATGTATGAATTTAAGTTATTTTATGTAAAAAAAATAATTATAGCTTTCGTCGATTAATATCAATAATAATATAATTGTAATATTTCTCTTGAATGGAAAAAAAAATTAAAAAATTGAAACAAATGAAAAAAATTATCTAATATTTTCAAGATATAGACAAAGCAATTCGACAAAAAAATTGAATAATCAATTTGCTTTATCTTTTAGAATACTAATGTGTTATATAAGATATTAAAGCAAAAACGTATGAGTTTTTACTAATATAAAAAAAATAATTTTTTTTAACAAAAATATAAAAAATAAAAATGAATTCACTGCACATTTTGAATTTTATAGAATTTTGAATTTTTTAAATAACACATAAAAATCAAAAACATCAAAAAAATTTTGATCTCTGAAATTCTTCAAAATTTGCACTTTTATTAAATATTTTTTAAAATGACACAATTGTTATAAAAAAAAAAATGAACAGACTTTAATGTTTACAAATGCTCTCGAAATCTGTCGATTACGTTACTGCACTAGGATATCGATTCCTCGCGTCAGTTCATCGTGTTATAGCGGTGAACTATTTTATGCTAGTTATCGGTATTGATAACATAAAAATTATATAAAATAAGAACATGACTAATTAACATGTGATAACTGCATGTACACAGATCGATCAAGACTAAAATTTAAACAAAATGTTGAATCAGTTGCGAGAATAAACGTAATTTAATGTAAAAGCGGAATATTCGTAACGGAAGATGGAACGCCGGTTCATTCTCGTGCGCTTGCGTACCGGAAACGTGAATTCCTATTGGTCGACGCCACATGGTCTGATGTCAGACCATAGGGTCTGTCCAATTCAATAATAACGAGATGCTCACGAGCTAGACGTTAGCCAGTTTTCTGCGACGTGCCCATGGTGCTTATACTGGTTTTATCGATAGGGAAACTGCACGTCGCGTATATATAAAATTACTAAATAGCAGAGCCATTTTTCTATTTAAATATTATTACCATTTCGTTATTCCTTCATTATTGTCATTACAAGTTGGTCGACAAGATCTACTCTATTTATTTCTAATTTAGTGGTGAACGTTAATTAAATACGCAGGATTTTCGAGCAAAAAGGAAAATAGAATTCAACAACATTTGTCAGGATTATATCCACGTGTGAGGTAAGTAGTTAAACGATGTCTCATTTTAAATAAATTTTTAACATTTTGTTGCTAATTAATAATTAATAATTGCTAATTAATAAAATACACTTAATTTGTTAACAATATAATCCAAATTATTGACAGTTCGGAAAATTCTTTTCAAGTCTTTTTAAATATTAATAAAAATTAATCAATTATATTTACAA